AAAAAAAAAAAAAAAAAAGAGTTACTTTGTCCAGTACGGACCATATGAGAAAGAAGCAAGTTCCATTTTTATTTCTCTTAAAATGAGCTTCTATCAGTTTCTCTAGGGGAGACTGGCTTTATCATCTCCAGGGTTGCTCTATACTTTGAAGTCTGTTTCCTTTAGTTTTCTTTTTACCTTAAACAAATTCCCTAATACAAAAAGTACTTTGAACTTAGTAGTCAGAACAGGGTTGTTTAATTAAAAACTAGAAGCAGTATCATTATAGCTGGGTCAACTCATCTGGGACTTGATTTAAAAGGCATAATAGACAGGAGGAAGGTTTATAAACTAAGTATAGACCAAAGTACAGAACTGAACCAACTGCACTTTCCTCCCACCCCCCTCGCAGAATCAACCTGAATTCATTGAAGATGACATGGAAAAGCATTGGCTTAATGGAAATGTGCAAATTTCTTCTCTTACTGACTTCATTTCTGCCGTGTGGGATGACGAGTAAGTAGATGTTCTTTCTGACCACATTTTATGCATATAAAATTTTCAGATATGAATAAGGGGTACTGGGTCCATTACAGAACCCAAATTGGATTGGCAGTCCAATTGGTATGACTCAGAATATAGGAATCAGATAACATAAAATATTGAATGAAAAAATATAGCGGGTTCTGATATTACAAGAAAGAGTGAAGTATTCTGTTCTGTTTAGTGGCACAGCCAGAATTTGTTTCCATCTTAATGCATGTCATTACTAGGAAGGTTGGGCAATCTACTTCCATAGTGATACTGCCTAGGAAACCCAAGGAGGGGTCGCTATGAGTCAGGTCTGACTCAATGGCACATAACAACAACAACAACAACTATTTTACCTAAAATAATCTGCCATTTAAATATATCACTTACATGAAAATCTTCCTGTGTTTTCCCCCATCCCCACCAAGCAATTGCAGCCCTCCCATCTGAAAAGTAATACACGGTCATTTTATAAAATAAGTTAGGTAATATATAAAAGAAGATTGTTGTTGTTATGTGCCATCAAGTCGGACCCGACTCATAGCGACCCCTCCTTGGGTTTCCGAGGCAGTATCACTACAGAAATAGATTGCCCAATCTTCCTTCTGAGGAGTGGGTGGTGGGTTTGAACCACCAGCCTTCTGGTTAGCAGTCAAGTGCCTTAGACACTACACTACCAGAGCTCCTACAAAAGAAGATAGAAAAGTAAAAAATCTCCCTTGAATACCGTCATCCAGAGATAATTATTCAAAGTTTTGCTGTGTATTCTTCCAGATTTATTTTGATACTTGGGTCATTATGAGTTGAAAAGTGATTGAATGGCACCCAGTAGCACACCACCAATGCCACTATCTTCACCAGTCATTTGTGTCTTCTAAAAGAAAGTGTTATGTGTTTATACAATATATTAATAAATGTAATCAGGTGTCTATATGTGTGTGGGGGTATGTGTATGATGACAGCTAAAGTTCTTATTTATTTTCTTTGTTGCTTGATTTAGAGCCAGGTAAGTAACTCAGGTATATCACTAGGCAACGAATGAATTTCCAAAAAGTCATAGAGATGATGGTTACCAGGGATGGGAGGGGAAGGGAAGAGAAATCACTACTAACTAGAGAGGAGAAACATATTAACTTGGGTGACGGGAAAGGCAATATGCAATAAGGGGAAGGACAGCCCAATGTGACCAACGGCAAAGGAAGACACTGGTAGGTGCACAAGAGTAAAAGATAACAAAGGTAAATACTATTCCATGCACAATCCTGCAATAATAGTAACAACAAACAACATATCGAGTATATACATAGGTAGACACACAAGCTGAACAGATGTGGGAAGGCAAATGGGAGTACACCCATAAGTATATACAGGTTTTGCAGAGGATATTTCTATGTATGTATTTATACATACTGCAAATATGTCCAAGGATATTGTAGAAGATTCAGGGGTCAAGTTCTAAAAATTGCTTCCCCAGAACCAAGCACCTTGAGGGAAAGAGTCACTGCACTCAGGGGCTTAGGACCACAGTCTCAGGTCAATTGGCCTGCATATTCCACAAAGACAATGTTCCACTTCTTACTTTGATGAGTAGTGACTGGGGTCTTAAAAGCTTATGAGCGGCCATTTAAGACATAACTACTGGTCTCTTCTCATCTGGGGCAAAGAAGAGTGAAGAAAATCAAGACTCAAGGAAAGCTTTAGTTCAAAGGACTAATGGGGCATGCGAACCCAGCCTCCACGGCCATGAGACCAGAAGAACTAGATGGTGCTGGGCTACCCTGCTCATCTCTCTGAAAAGGATCACAATAGGAGGTCCTGGACAGAAAAAGGTAGAAAAAAAAATGTAGAACAAAATTCAAAATCCTAAAAAAGATCAGACTTTACTGGTGTGATAGAGACTGTTCCCCTCGTGGCCCTTACACACGTTGCAAGCCTAGAACTGAACCTCACCCCAGGAGTCAACTTGCAGCCAAACAACAGACAGGCCTATAGAGTGAATAATGACCCCAGGAAGTAATGTACTTCTCAGTACAATCAACCATTAGAGACCAAAAGGGCAGCATTTGCCCAAAAACAAAGCTCAGAAGGCAGGAAGGGGCAGGAAAGAAGGGCGGATGCAATCAAGGGGTCCAGGGAGGAAGGAGGAAGAGTGCTGTTACATTGAGGGGATTGCAACCAATGTTATGAAACAGTATGTGTCTAAGTCATTCAATGGAAAACTAACTTGCTCTGTAAACTTTCACCTAAAGTACAATAAAAAGTAAAATAAGTAAATAAAAAATCACAGATAATAAAAAACTGCTACATATCCTGGGAGCTCCGGCGCCTTAGTACCTAACACATTTGACTGCTAACCAGAAGGCTGGTAGTTGAAACCCACCAGCCACTCCTTGGAAGGAAGGTTGGGCAACCTACTTCTGTAGTGATTCTGCCTCGGAAACCCAAGGAGGGGTTGCTAGGAGTTGGATCCGACACCAAGGCAGTGAGTTTGGTTTTTGGTTTTTGCTACATATCCTGACCACCCACAACTCATTCACCCACAAACCACAGCCTTTTAAACACTTTTTTTTACTTTACTAAACTGCAAAAACAGTATTAAAACATCAGAAATTCAAGATCCAGTTTGTCCATAATCCCATCATCTAATCAAAAAAGTATTTCCAAATGTTACTGCTTCTATGCATATTCAATTGTGATATATGTATAGTAATTATTATAGATGTAATATGATTCTGCGTTTTCATTTAATAAACCAAACCAAACTCACTGCCATGGAGTTGATTTCAGTGACCCTATAGAACTACTCCATGGAGTTTCCAAAGCTATAAATCTTTACAGAAGCTGAATGTCTCATCTTTCCCCTGTAAAGTGGCTGTTGGTTTTGAACCACCAGCCTTATGGTTAGCAGCCAAATGCTTTAGCCACTGTGCCAACAGAGCGTCTTTTCACTAAATACTATGCCTTAAATATTTTTCCATTTTGCTGTAGTCTTTTTCCTTTTTATTTCCCCAATCCTCCCCCTTAATTTCCTACTTCCAATTCCTTGAAGTAATCATTGTAAGTCTAATTATTTCTTCACTCTCTTCTCTATTTTTTATCAGTCCTATTCAATATATAAGGACTTTCCAAAAAAAACCAAACTCACATCCATCAAGTCGATTCTGACTTATAGTCCCCCGTTGCGTTTCCAAGGCTGTAAATCTTTACAGAATCAGACTGCCTCATCTTCCTCCCACGGAGCAACCAGTGGGTTTGAATCTTCGACCTTCTGGGTAGCAGCCAAATGCCTTACTCACCATGCCACTAGAACTCTATATAAGAACCTTAGGTGGTACAAATGATTTGAGCTTGACTACTAACCTAAAGGTTGGCAGTTCGAACCCGCCCAGCGGTATGGTAGACTAAAGGCTTGGAAAAGGCACTTGACTGCTAACCAGAAGGCTGGCGGTTCAAACTCACCAGCCACTCCTCGGAAGGAAGATGGGCAATCTACTTCCGTAGTGCTACTGCCTCAGAAACGCAAGGAGGGGTCGCTATGAGTTGGGTCTGACTCGATGGCACATAACAACAACAACAACTATCATAGCCAAGAAAACGCTATGGAGCAGTTCTGCTCTAACATATGGGATCATCATGAGTTGGAAATGACTCAACAGCAATGGGTTTTGGTTTTGGTTTCACTTAATATATATATATATTTTTTCCCCCCAGCACACACATACACACACACACACACAAATGGGACTGTTCTCTAGAGCTGTTTTCTCCCCCCCACTACCATGGAGTTGATTCCAATTCATAGTGATCCTATAGGAGAGAGCAGAACTGCCCTGAGGTTGTAAATCTTTACAGAAGCAGATTGCCACATCTTCCTTCCATGATTTTCTGACCAAATTATTCTCAATTTTCACTGTATGTTAGAATCACTTTTTTAAAAATCTGATTTCCAGGTTGAACTCATATCAATGAAGTCAGATTATCTGGGGGAGGGGGGAGCCAGGCCCTCAGTATTCTTTTTTTAACATCCACATGTGATTCCACAACAACAACAACAAAGTTTGGTGGCCACTATTTTAACCATTTTCATTTCTTAGTTAATAACACATTACAGACCTTTTTCCTTGTAAAATTATATAGATTAATATGACTATTCTTAAATTTTTTTTAAATTTTAATTGTTTCAAAGTATCTCATTGTATCAATGTTTAACTAATTGATCAGATGTTTAGGTTGTTTACTCTGAACATTTGATAGTTCCTTTCTTCACCCCTAGGCTCTGTTTTAACTGTGAATGGTGAAACTGAGGACTATATCCTCAACACTCAGCCTGAGCTCCAAGTGTCTCTGAAATGTGCTGTTCAAAATCACACCAGAGAGGAAGAACTTCTCTGGTACCGAGAAGGTGGAAGAGTGGATTTGAAATCTGGAAACAAAATCAACTCCAGCTCCATCTGCGTCTCTCCCATAAGTGAAAATGACAACGGAGTCACCTTTACCTGCAAGCTACAGAGGGATCAGTCGGTGTCCATCTCAGTGATGCTGAATGTCACTTGTGAGTGAGGGGAAAGAAACTGCTAACCAGTCTGTGCTATGTGTACCACGTTAAGTGGTAGCTGAAATCTAGGTCCAAGGAGTATGTGTGTTTTATCATTTGCTTGATGTTGCCAAATCACCCACTTTACACTCCCTCCACAAAGCAGGAGAGAGCCTCTTTCCCCATACACTCACAAGCACTGAATATCCTCAGACTCTAAGAATTCACCACCCTGATTTGAAATTTTATTTTCATTTTTTTAAATTAAGAGTGAAGGTGATCACCTTTTCACAAAGTTATTGGTTATTTAAGTTTCTTTTCTACGAAATGCCTGCTCATGTCATTTACACATTTTTCTATTGGTTTATTTGCCTTTTTCTCATTGATTTGTGTTGGGAAAGTGAGGAAGTTCAGAAGTTAAAGTGAAAGTAAGTGGAGGAAAAACAGCCTTGACCTCAATAGATCAGAGCAGGCTTTATTAAAGAAAAGCCCATGAGGATCGACTCTAGACCCAACGTAGAAATGCCAATTGTAGGGTAGAGCCATGCCTGGGGGAAGTGTTGCCCCTTTTATAGGGACCTCTGTTGCACAAGGGGTTTTGCAAGAATTGCAGTTTCCAGGAAGGGGGTTTGTTTTTGACAAGGGTGTGTGTGTGGGGGGGGGGTCTGCAGGTGGAATTTATTTCTAATGTTTCTCAAGGCAGGGGAGAGTGTGGGGTTTATCTTTGAGGTTTCAGGGTGTCTTAGCCAAGTTTAGAGTAGCCAGTTTGGTCCTTCAGTTTGTAAAAGGGTTTTGTAAATTAAGGAAATTAGTCCTTTGTCATTTGGATTATAAATATTTTCCCCCATTTACGCTTAACACTGTTTATAGATTTTTTTTTTTTTTTTTTTTTGCCCTATTGAAGTTTTAAGTATTTATGTCTTTAAAATTACCAACCTTTTTCTTTGTGGTTTCTAGCTTTTGTGTTCTACTTAGAAACACCGTCACTGAGTATCTTTTAACATCATCTTAAAACCAACAAAAAGGAACAACTACCCAGTGGTTGTATGCCATGTATTGGTAGCATTCTGGTGGAATTATGTGGGTTGGGGTTTGTATGAGTAACTTCAAATACAAGAATCAGCCCAAAGCCAATTCCTATGAGGCAGAAGGCAAATATATCCCAGGATGCCACATTCTCCAAGCTGCTGTTCCACTCCATCTCTGACACTGGCCACTCTCCCTCCCCTCAGCGCTTTTCCCTCCACAATTTGGGTTCAGAAATTTGCTGTAAAGTCTCACAGAACTCACAAACTGTACTTACATTTAAGTGGTTTAATAAGGACCAGGGTATAACTCGGAATCAACATCACAAGCCACATCCAAGATCTAGATCAGAAAGCTTTTAGCCACAGTCTCCCTCCGTTCAGTGCAGGAAAGCTCCCTCAACAACTCCTGGCCTGCAGGCCTCCTCTTGACCCCCTGTGGACAGGCTTCACTTCCCTCAGCCCTCTGAGGACAGGCTTCTCTTGGCCCTGGACTTGTGTTACAACTCTTTTAAGAGGTCCCTAGCCTCCTCTCTCTCTCTCTTTCTCTGTTTTTTCTTTGTCCTTTCTTGCTTCTTTCCATCTGTAAAAAATCTCTGAGAGGCTGGCTGTATATATATATATATATATATATATATACACAATAGCTCCTTATTAGTTTCAAGGAATGGCCCTTCCCCATAGGAGACCACAAACTTACCAATCCCCAGTGGCCACAGATACTTCATTTGCATATTCCATAGGCACTTCATCTGCATGAGTGTATTGACAATCCCTGCAAAGTGTATTATCAATCACAGGGTAGGTTGCAACCCAGGGCCAGATTTTAAAAAATCAAGGTTACAACTTACCCCAAGAATTGTTAATCAATCTGGACAAAAGTAACAAATAGGTTAGCCTAGAAACTAGGGCAAAGGTAACTCCTCAGGATTTAGAAGGAAAATTTCCCAAGCTGCTTTTCCAAAGACTTAAGGTTCACATAAAGGAACTCATTTCACCAGGAAAAAGATAAATAAATAAAATAAAAACCCGCTGCTGTCTAGTCGATTCTGACTCACAGCGACCCTATGTTGTTGTTGTTATCAAGTGCTGTCGAGTCATTTCCGACTCATAGCGACCCCATGCACAGCAGAATGAAACACTGCCCGATCCCACGCCAGCCCCACAATCCCTGCTATACTTGAGCCCA